TTAATAAAATGCCAAGTTTTGATGAATTCAATGTTAATTCTAAATATTACATTCTATTACATTTACTCTTGGTAATGGTGCTCCTGAAACACAAAGTGAATGCTAGAAAAAAAGCCAATGGGAACTTTAAAAAAACATGAGAACTTCAATTTTTCTCAGAAGTGCAGTGGCAAATGCAAGTGATCTCCTATATAGCAGTGATATCACAACTGCCTTCCTGTTTGGGTAATGAACATGAGACTGTGGTGTCCGGGATCCTCTTCAGACAGAGGGTTATTGTGATAGATGCACAGGCCATCTCTTTTTCCTGGCATAAGAGGTTCTATATATTTATCTCTTAACATAGCAAAGAACTATATTTTGAATGAACAGCCTAATTTCCCTATTTAACTTTGCATATGCAAAACACCTTATTAAAAATAGATTCTTTGGTAGTTCCTCATGTTATAGTGAATGGAGTGTTTCAGAGCAGCAGATCCAAGGTCAGCAGTTTGGAAGCGGAGAGTTTCATATTTACACCTTTAGCAGCAGCACCCTCCACCACACCTCTCCAAAAGGAGCGTGTCCTTCTGTCCAGGCACAGCATAGAAATCGTTCCCAGATTTTGATGGTGCAGAGCTTTGTCAAAGGCTTTGACAAATGCAACTGTATAAATGCAACTGTATAAATGCATACATATCCATATATACATATAAAATGACCCCTGCCTCCCCCCCCCCGCCTTTGTCCATCATCCTCACAGCCCTTCAGCGGGTGAGTGGGGCAGGATCTCCCTTTCAGAAGACGTGATGACTCTTTCTCAGCAGACTGGTGTTTCAATGAGCTCAGTGCCTTCATTCTTCATTACAGATCCCCCACAACGTACGAGAGGTAGAAATCGGTCTCAGCGGTCGGTAGCTCCCAGCACTGAGACGACCGACTCGTGGCCCTCGAGCTGCCCTCTCAAGCCCTTCCTGTAGATGAGAGCTGCAGTGGTGACATGCCAGTCTCCTGGCACAACACCTGATTGTAATGGTGCGTTAAGTGCCTTGGCCAGCAGTCTCACAGTTGAGATCCTTTGGGATACTTGTATGAATGCCATCTGGTCCTGATTATTTACAGGCCTCTCACTTATTTGGTCGGTTTAATACTTCCTGCGCGCATCCCTCGAGTGGAGCTGGCTCCTCTGACATGTTTGCTGCATCAGGCATGAAAATATCCCAACATCTTTGGCAGGGAAGAGTGTATTCACTGAATTTCTCTGCTATGGTCTTGTTGTCCCTAAGAGATCTTTTGCCATCAGGCAGCCCTGTTTTTCTAAACAGTCCCCAAAATCATGTTGGTTTCTTCCTTCTGGGACTGCTTCTCTGTCCCACAACACTGCCGAACCTAGCTCTACTGTGATTGCCACTACAGGGCTCCCTCCACCAAAAACTGCTTGACCTAGGACTTGTGCAGTGCTAAAGATGAAATGTAGAATAGCATCTTGTGTTGTGGATTTGTTTGCAGGACTAATTATTCCAGGGATCAGGCATTTGTTGCATATAGACATTATATCTTGTTCTGCTGCAGCATCTTTATAAAGGTACCCAAAATCTCCTGCTATTGCCACCTGCTTTCAGCTTCCTGCTCTCAGTTAGCATTTTCTGATAACTATCATCATCATGATGAGGAGTTTGGTAATGCATTCCTAATACTCTATTTTTATTATTAGAGTATGGGCTGTCTGCCTACAGGGACTCTGTAGTGCTTCTCTTCACCCATAATATTTTTACGCTGTTGCAAGTTATATAGTCCTTCATGCACAGTGCCGCTCCTCCACCTGTGCATCCTACACTATCATTACCATAAAGCTGGTAGCATGGCAACACAGGTTCCCATGGTTTATCCTCTCCCCTACAGGTCTATGAGGTTCCCCTTGCACCAGGGTTGTTGTCTCATGCCAAGCCTTCCAGCTCCCCCATCTCATTTTGAGCTTTGTGCATCAGTGCAGAATTACGTGTAAGATTTGCTTTTGCTCAGTCACTCAAGATAGCACGTGCCAGCCAACTGGATTTGTGGGCAGTTGTATTTGCCTTCCCTAATTATTGCAGTCGGGCTTTATTTCCCTGCTGGCCTTGGTCAGAGGTGCATTGGATGTCAGTTCACTGCCCTCTCAGGTCTCATCAGTCCAGCCCACTTGCTCTCCCATGCCCGTCAGCTCCCCTATTGCTTCTAATTAAATACTCCTCTGGAAACCTTTCATTCTGCAGCACCAGCAGCCTGGCTCCACTCTGGGTACAGTGCAGTCTCTCATTTCTGTATTGCTTGCCTTTATCCAAAAAAAGATCCCTCAGTTCCTTACATACCTAAATTTTTCCTTTCTACTGTCTCATTCATGCACTGTAAGACTGGGTCTGACGTGAGCTTCTCTTTTGTCCAAAAGCTGAGCCCCAAAGATCCCACCTTCATCCCTGGTGCCCACAATGACCACAGCCACCACCGGCTCCTCTCCCGCACCCCCAAGAGATCTGCACAGACATCTCATGAGGTCTGCTCCTGGGGCAGACCTGCTCCTGCTGAGCCACTCTTGTCTCGAGACAGCCACCCTTGTCCCTCCACACCCCCAGCCCCTTGCCCTGCACACACTTGCACAAAACCTGCCCTGGGCAGGTGGCTGTACATGTTGCACGCTGGGCAGTTTATGGGGTAGCCCCCACTCTGCTGCTAGACTGCTACCAGCATCCCAAGCTTAAAATCTTACAGTTTTGGGGCACTTTTATTAGCTCAGCAGGGCTTTGAATTTGTCCACGCTCCATCCTCATTTGACTCCTCTAACTCACAGTTTTCATACACAACAGGAATGCTTCAACAGGTGGCAGATCTCTTCACTGATATTTTCTTGTGTTTTGGGGTTACTAAAGGCAAGGATGCTTGGGCCATAGCAAAACACAGGCAAAAGGGCTCTTTCCTTCGCAGTACCTTGGGCTGTGATGTTTCGCTGCAAAATGGGGAGATCAGATTCAATCAGGAGAAAAGCTGGTCCTTGATCCCACACAGAAAACGTGTATGTCAGACAGTCACTTTGTACAGAAAACCAAAACCTTTCAAAACTCCTCTGATTGCAAAAGATTTGTTCTTAGGAAGTGTACCTTGTCTCTCCCCTCCATGAGGAAAGAGGATCTCAAACGAGGAGGAGAATTCCTTTAGGAGCACGTGTTTACTGAGTCTGGGGCATTGCTGATCCCCAATATCCATTTTGCCCACTTCCAGTCTTCAGCGCTCCTAAGCTCAATAGATATTATTATCTTTATTTTCCGGAGGGATAATTTCAGGCACTGCAAGGATGGGTATGACATCAGTGTGAGCAAATGTCCCCCTTCCCTGAGCCGCCATGCTCCCATCTCGCAACAGGGGGGTAAGTCCTGCTCCTTGGGAGCCCAGCCCAGAGGTCACGCTTCCCATGCTCCCCGTCACAGTGGGGCCAGATAAAAGGCGACTGCTGGGGCCCATCTGGTTGCTATATTAAGGGATCCAGATGGACTCTGAGACACCGCCCTGAAGATACCATGAGCTGCTCTGAACATAGCTCAGGCTCCCACACCATAGCTTGAGTTCGCAAATTAGCTCCTGTTTACAGCGCACTGGGAATACCGCAATGGGTAACTGGGAGTCCAGAGCACCCAAATCTAGAGCCTATGTCTCCCCCTAGGCAGACTCCACCTGTGCAAATAAACTAATTTCAGATCATGGAGCCAGTGAGGTCCAGAATGAGAGATAAGATGCAGTCATGTACCATCGACCCATTATCACTCTCACTGGGGCAAATTAAAAGCTTTTTTTTTGTGCATCTAGAAATGCCATGTAGTTCTGCTTTTTAGGCTAAAATTTTCCATGCTCCATCTCTAGAATATGTTGGCAGATGCAGAGAGGGAATTACTTGCCACTATTAAACAAGCAACAATACTGAAACCTTCCTTTCAAAATAGTACTAGCTGCAGGTCAGCTGAGAGAAGAAATCGGGAGTTCAGCAAGGAAATCGACTCTAATGAGAAAAAAAATATTATTTAGAGTGTTTTAGTGATGAGTAGTTTTGATTTGATTGAATTATAGCCTCATGGGAGGAAAAATGTCACTCTCCGTGAACACAGCCCATTTTCTCACAGGCCATTTTCAGTAGGGCTGCAAACGTGGGCTGCCCTGGAAGCTGCAGTGCGAGTAGACGACTGTCTGATGCAGAGCAGTTGAGCACAAAAAGGGTTGAGAAAGTGGTAAATGAAGCAAAGGCCCCACAAAAAGAGATGTAGAAAGACATCAGAAACTTAAAGGAAAGAAGTACTACAGTGTAAGGAGGAGGGAGTTAAAAAACAAACAATGCATAACTAGCACAGTATTTATGCAGTGTTTAAGGTCAAAATGTCCTTAATTTATAGGTTTTGAGGTATATCAATATACTCGGTATATTGAGGTATATCAATATATTGCTCGGGAAAGTTCAGTGACATGCTGCCAACAGCAGACAATGTACCAAAAAAAATTTCACTAGTTCCAATCAGCAAATTGAGTTCTTTTGGCTTTTCATCCTAATCTGAAACACTGACTTACCAGTGGACAGTGATTTCTTTTCTGATCAGGTTTTGATGTTCCCATGGCCTGGGGACTCAAAAGCTTCCTACTACAAAATGGCTGACAGCAAGTTGGCTTGTTTTGCACAGAGATCAGAGAATTGCCATTAAAACACACACATAGCACTCACCTGGAAAAGGCAGCACTTTCATAGATTGAGACATCAACCAGCTGCTGTAATACTAAAACTGTTTAGAGATGACTTGGGGCTTTATGCCTTGAGATGTGTATTTACTGGGACATCACAAGTGATTAGTCATTAACAAACCTTTACTTTCCACTGCCCTCTGCATCTTGCAATTTCTGCCCTCAGCGAAATAGTCCTGAATAGCTGAACTCCCTGCCTGGCCTGTAACCCAGCATTCACACCACTTCTTTTTACTTTGGCAGAAAGACGGAGAGCCTGGCTCTAGACTATGAATATTTCCGAGATGGCACTAGACAACAACTTCACCAACAACTCCTACAACTGTACGATTGATGGCTTCAAGCAAGTCATTTATCCCATCACGTATCTCTTTATCTTCTTCCTGGGTGTTGTTGGAAATGGCCTCTCCATTTATGTTTTCTTCCAGCCTTCGCAGAGGAAGACCTCAGTAAACATTTACATGCAGAACTTGGCTGTTTCGGATCTCATGTTTGTGAGCACTTTGCCCTTTCGGGCCACATATTTCCTGTTGGGATCACGTTGGATATTTGGTGATATTGTCTGCAGGATCATGACTTACACCTTGTACGTGAACATGTACTGCAGCATTTATTTTCTCACCGTGCTCAGCGTGGTTCGTTTCATAGCCATCGTCTACCCATTCAAACACTTGAAAGTAACCAACATGAAGTATGCCAGGATAGCATGCGCAACCATATGGGTCTTTGTGCTGGCAGCCGCCAGCCCTCTGTTAAGCAAGGGAATTGCTGGGTACAGCAACCCAGCCAAGTGCTTGGACCTCCACCCCTCCAGCACACACAAGCTCCTCATAATGAACAGCTTTGTCCTCATCGTGGGCTTCATTCTGCCATTTTGCACAATTATTGTCTGCTATGTCTTTGCAATCAAAGCGTTGCTCAAGTCTAAGACTCCACAGTGCAAGAAGGCAGTCTGTCACAAGAAGGCACTGTCAACCATCATCATCACTCTCATCCTCTTCCTCCTCTGTTTCCTGCCGTATCACATACTGCGAACTGTCCACCTGATGAGCAGCAGCTGCAGCCAGGCCAACCTGCCCATGCACAAAGCACTGGTGGTTGCTCTCTGCCTTGCTTCCATGAACAGCTGCCTCGATCCTGTCCTCTATTACTTTGCTGCTGAAAATTTTAAAGCGAGAATCAGAAGTTTGTACCGCAGGTAGCTGACGCAGAATTGTGAAATGCTATATATACTGTCCCAATGGGACATCTAGACTGGGTCCATACTATTCAATGGCAAAGGCTGTGTGGTGCTAGCCAGCCTGCAGCCACACTGCTCAGTGCCAGGCACTTCTAGAGCAAAAGTGTCTTGGAGAGAGCTCATTGGGGATGGCCAAAACTGAGGCAGGATGATCAGAGGTCAGGTGCCTGGGCGTGATCCCAGCTCCTCTTCTATTTAGCAGTGTAGATATACCTCTAGTGTTCACCCTCCCCAGGACAAGGGACTGAAAGGGATTTACCTTGCTACTAGAGCCCATTTATTTCATTTCACAATACTCAACCAGTGACTTGAAGGGAAACTACTCACCTGACCTCCTCAGTGTCTATGTCTGAGCCTCTCTGTGCTCCATTTCCCTGTGTGTGCAGAGGTGCATGGTTCAGACACTGTGGTACCCAACAGCTTCATAGTGCCCTGTCGGTTCCCTTCGCAAACACCAGCCAAAGGTTTGCACATAACAGAAACGTAAAGCATCACTGATGATACTTTCTGCTGAGGCTGACTTACAAAGCAGGCAGGGAGCCAAACAGGACCCAGCACTGGCTCAGGCTGTTCAGAACGCATTAACATTTCTAAATTTTCTGCTCTGAGGAGGCCACCGAGGTATTTTGCTTAAATTTCAATGATTGTCAAGTGAGATAATGATTTTGAGCAAAGGGCATCAGCATGGAGCGCTATGAGTAAGATGACTGCTGGCAGCGAGGGCAGGATGTGGGCGCACGGAGCACCTGTCTGCACCCTGCAGCTCTTCGCGTGTGTGCCGATTCCTTTGGGGCCATTGCAACACTTGTTTTTACTCTCAGCGTTGCCAGTGCTTTTCTGAAAGCCGAGGTTAGGCGGCTCAGTCACCAGTCAGGCATCCAGAGACAAACTTTTAAAATTGTTTTGGTCCAAACAGGTAGCTAGGGAGTGGTTTCCTCTGCACAGGTAAACCAGTCTGACAGCGAACTGCTGCCAAAGGCATCCCTAATCCCTCACCTCCTGCCTGCTCTGAGGAGGAAACGGGTCCCTTTTTTCATAGGATTAACTTCCAGTTGCTTTGGACTCCCTGACATCAAACATGCACCAATGCAATGGGGAAGCACTAAGCCAGGAACAGAAGGAAAGACGCGTGGCAGAGGAGGAAGAGGAGGGCTGTTTTAGAAAGCAATGGGGAGCTACACCTATGTGTACTTTGGAAAATCTCACCAAATGGCTGCCTGCATTTTTAAGTCTCTGAATATTTTCTAAAATACATTTCCTAAAAATCAGACCGCTTGCAATTAAGTGAAAACAAGCTCCAAACTCAGTTCAACCACATTTAGATTTTGTTTTTAATTACTTCATTTTTTAATAAAAAAAGACAAGAAGTTTTGTCATATTTTCCAGGAAAGCTGCCTGTCCCATATGAAAACTAACAAACATGCTGAAAGCCCTCCCTCCCTGTGAAATCCACCCAAAGGAAGGTTTCTGTCAGTGAAGAGACTTTCTCAATGCTCTGAACTTCTTTTGAGAAAGCACTCTATAAACTGAAAGTTATTGCTCCCAAACAAAAATAACTGCAGCTAGCTATTTTCAGCTCTGTCTGAAATATGCAGAAAACAAATTATTGATGGGCAGGTGGAAAAGTACTTGGCAAATCACTGGGAAAGTCACGTTTTTCTTGGCTATCTAAGGGTTATGTTCAATTGCAGAGTCAATCTCTATTTTGGTCACCTTATGCTGCCTTTGATGTAAGCACAGAGTTTTATCGTAAGTCTTCACTAAAGTTCATGCTCCAAATCCTTATTTCAGTAACTCAGTGGCATACCTGAGAGCTGACCTAATGATGCCATGTGAACTCCTGCAGTGCTTGGTCCCATGCTATTGAATGAAAAGGGAATATTACCATTGGTTTGCAATGGTAATGGGATCGAGATGGTAGCCTGTGCAAGAGGGATAGTGGACAAATAATTGGAAGGAAGGGGACAAACTCTTTTTCCACAGTGTTTCCCTGTCAGGAGTAAACCTGAGTAGGGACAAGTGACAATCTTGGAACCTCTGACGAGATACTGTTCACCTTAAATACTACAAGGGAATGGAAAAAATTAGCCACAGTCTAATCACATTAACATGTTTTTGTCTGTATCCATCCAAATGCACCCTATTATCAGATAATTTTGCATCCAGAGGATATATGTATCTCACTTATGAGGTCACATTTCTTTCCTATTGACCGTGCTACAACTTTGTTAGCAATTGAATTAACTGTCAAACCTGTGTTTTAATAAACTAGATTTACTAGTTGCTGAAGATATGTTTTTTATTGATTGCACGGCTAACAAGGAATCTCCTCAGAGTACAGGGGGAGAAAGACCAAGAAACAGATATTGAGTTTCTGTAAGTGGGCCAACATTTCACGAGGGAGAAATGTCTTTGGAGGTGTGAGAGCATCCCGCTGCCTTCTTTACTTCACCAGCAAAATAGTGGGGAACATCAGTCAAAATCTGGGGTGCAGATAAAGTAACAGATTTTTTTAAATTATGATTTACTTGCAAAAGGATTCAAGACTGTCCTTGTTAGGGATCCTCACATGCAGCTTTAACAACACTTGCATAACATGCCACATTCCCATTTACTGCCATTTCTCCATTTGGTGTCCTTGCATGTCTCCACTCACGGAGCTGAAGACTGGTGCTCTTCGCTGTGGAAGTATCATAGTAAAAAATGTAGTAAAAAAAAGACACCATATCTATCCCGAAAAATAAAGCTCCTGACAGTTAAATTACTAGCAATGCCTCTAGGTTCCTCAAGGGACCACCTACCCTTCAGAAAGTGTTTTGATATGTTACCTCAATTTTCCAGGAGACAAAATCTAAGAATAGCTACATGCCTAGAAAGTTAAAGCAACAGTAAACTTCTGAGCTTGAAGGAGACATAAGAGCAGGAAACGAAGTCTCTAAGTGACCGGTACCCCTAAACAACAGCAAATGTTCCAGCTTCATATGCATGTTTTCCTGTCATTCAGGGAAACCCTGGTATTTCTAGGCAAAGATAATTTTTCAGTTCAAAGCTACACCAGAGACAAAGAAAGATTTTCTGAAGAAATCTTGCTGAACCACTTGACCCTCAGCACAAGGAAATCCCACTCTTTGCATTTGCTTTTTAGCCCTGGTTCAGGCCCACGTGTGGCTATGTTTGCTGATGGAGTGGTGTCACAGCAGGCAGGGGAGCATCACTTTTTTTATTTTAAGCAATGCATTCTCCCATTCATTTTCATTTCCTCTGCCTTCCTCAACATATATCCTGTTGCCATAGCTTATATTTTGCTTTAGCTCTTAAGAGTATCTGGAGAAAGGGGTGCACATTTTGCTACTCATTATCTCCTTCTGAGGTGCACGTTCCTCTATGCTACAACAGCATGTTGTGCTGGCAGCAGAGAGGCATCAGACTTTTTCCCCCTGTTTTAGGGTTGTTGGTGCTTCTTTTGGTCCTTTGGGACCAAGGCAAGATAGAAATGACCTGCTGCCCCTCCAGCTGATAGGAGCGGAAATAAAATCTATCCAAAATAACCAAGTGTAATCGCAGTCAGGAGGAGTCAGATGCTGTTTCAATAGTGACACCATCCCTGGACTAATATTTTGATTTCCTGCATCATATTTGAGCCAGATTAAATGACAGCCTCTTCGAAAGACGGCGGAAATGAAGTGCAAGCGCAGATTCCCTGAGAGAGTCCAGTATCATTTGAGGTGCTTCAGCTTTCCAGCCAGCACTGACCGTGACCTGCCACACGATATGACTGTCCTCACATGGCTATGCAGTCCTGTACCTCTCACACTGAGAGGTTGTGCTGTGCATATACAGGAATCTTTCCAGACGACTGCAAAGACAAGCGATATATTTAATTGCATGCAGCTGATGTTATGTAGTTACATCTGTTTGTTCCCCAGTCAACAGCTTAAGGAGGCCAAAGAAATTAAATAGCTTCCTTTGTCCCAAATTCCCTTTTTGCCTTTCAGAAAAACTGGCCTGATTTCCACCACTGCTTCCCCTCCTTTTGATTTTACAGCTGAAAGGATAAAGCTGCCTAACATAGGGGCCAAAACCTGGTCATTCAAGTCACACTCCTGCTCACAGGAGCAAAATTTCTGAAGCTGGGAAATAAAGCTCTGGACCTTGGTCCACCACACATATCGCCTCACGTAGGGCTTGAATGCTCAGAGTAGCGGCTGGCAGGTTTGCTCATCAGGTTTGCTCCTCAGGTTTGCTGTTTGCATTTCCAGATGTTGAGATGTTGAGCATGTTAACTGTTAGATGACGCTCACAAGGCATGTGCGGGACAACC